TTGTTGAAAATTTTTTTTTTTTTTTTTTTTTTTTTTTTTTTTTTTTTGGTACTGGGGCTTGAACTCAGGACCTTGCACTTTCAAGGCAGGTGGTGGCACCACTGAGCTAAATCCCTGGCCCTGAGAAAGCCTCTTTTTAAAATACTGTACAATTACATTGGCAGCAGTTTCTTCAGATTAGGACATGTTTGTCCCTCATGGGGGGCACCACATCCCCATCTTACAGATGGGAAAACTGAGTTACTCACTAGAGAAACAAAGCTAGTGGCAGCAGGGCAGAGATGCGAACCCACCCTGTCTGGCTCCAGAGCCTGCGTCCTGAAGCAACAAGAACAGAAGGGACAAGTCCAGGCCAGATTTCTACAGCTTCATGGAGAGGGGTGCACAGGAGGAAAGAGACCCGTGCCACAGCGACCAGTTAGGAGGCGGACAGGAAGGTCCCAGAAAGACACCGAGGAAGATGTGGCTAAACGATGATAAAATGAAGGGAGTTAAGGACGAGCCTGGGTCCCATCCAGTTGTTGCTTCCTCCTGGCCTTCTATCAGCTGTGCCAGATGATCCACTGGGGCTTCTAACCACAGAGTTATTTCACTGGGGGCTGGACAATACCTATCCTGCTGCCATGTTGGGTCTGGGACAGAGCGCTACAACCTGTCCCCAGAAAGGAAGCTGGGACATCTCTTCTATCCTTGCCTCTTTCTGTACACACATTTAAGTAAAACAGAGAAGACGAACCTCCAAAGGTGGCTAGACTTGATATGTCTCATCCTGTCCAGGTGACACATGAGATGGACCATCACAAGCCAAAGTCTGTCTTAGTTGACTTGGGTTTCCCTAACAAAAGCCATGGATTTGCTGGCTTCATCTACTGAAATGGAATCTCAGCTCTGGAACCTGAAGTATGATATCAAGGTTGGTGTGGTCAGGTTCTGGTGAGGGCTCTCTTTCTGGTTTGGAGATGGCTGCTTTTTCACTGTACCCTCTGATGGGAGGAAGGGAAGTGAAAGACACAGAGAGAGAGGAAGACAGAGAAGAGAGAAAGGGAAGACGGGGGGGAGAGAGAGAGAGAGAGCCCTAGAGTGTCTTCATCTCCTTACAAGGGCACTAACCCTATGATGAAGACCCCAACCCTAATACCTTTTCTAAACTCAGCTCTCTCCCGAAGGCCTCCTTCCCTGACTCTCCCTCCCTGCCTCCGCCTTTGCTCTCTCTTTGCTTCCTGGGTGCCGTAACGTGAGCAGCTCTCCTCCACCAGGCCCCTCTGTCTTGGAGCCACTGGACCATGGACTGAAACTTTACACACTATGAACCAAAACACAGCTCCCTGCCTTTAAGTTCTAGGTGTCGGACATTGTGTAACAGGGACAAGGAAAGTGACTAAGACACTATCACACAGGGGTTGAGACTTCAGCATATGAACCTGGGGGGGTCTCGTTCAGTCTACAGCAGTATGCGGTGGTGAAAGCTGTTTTTTCCCTGCCCCTCTGAGCACAGAGGAGTCTTCAGCCCCCAGCCAATTCCTAAAATCCAAGCCCCTGACCTCAGCTCCCCTGTCCAACAGTCCCACAGGTATCCTCTGCCCTGTCAGCGACCCTGCTGTACTCATTGAGAATTCACAGATGCTGTGTGGACAGTGACAGTGAGAACAAGCAGGTCCACGACGGCGTCCCAAGGAGTCATCACAATGTTCGCCTCGGCGGTGTGAGGATCCGGTGAGACTGTGCTTCTGAACTCATCTTGCCGAAACCTTTACCTCCTCACAGTATCGATGAGTCCAGAGGGAAACCAGGAGACAAGCCTGCACCGATGGAGAATTTCTCTGAAGGTGGAAACATCAGTCTGAAAAGAGGAGCTTATTTCTAGATGCCTTTCTCGGCTAGAGGGAGGAAGATTCGGGCCCGCAAATCAAACACCTTCCCTTGCGGCATACACTGAGGCTACCTCGGATGGAATTCTGTGCCACATCGAGTCTCGCCCGATTCCTGACTCCACATCCTTGTCATACTTCTCATAGCCCAGATCCCACTGCCCACCCCCGTAGCCTCCACCCCAGCCCTGACATCAGGCAGAGTCTGCGGAGACCAAGAAGGTGTCTGTCTCTCCTTTCTGTCTCTGCTTCCGGTTCGCTGTGCCATGAGCAACTGTCCTCCGACCATGTACGGCTGACCACGGACTGAAACTTCCGAAAATGGGAGCCAAAATAAGCTTCTTGTTTAAATTGCAGGAATTGGGCATTTTATTCTAGTGACGAGGAAAATGACTAACACATTTGAATTCTTGAACAACCCCTTAAATTAAAAAAAAAAAAAGAATTCAGCGCTGGCTTCAGCAGCACATACACTAAAACTGGGACGATACAGAGAAGACTAGCATGGCCCTGCGTAAGGATGACCTGCAAATTCGTGAAGCGCTGCATAATTTTCTAAGTTATTAATTTTTAAAATCACTTTTTAAGGGAAACAACTTGACCAAAAATCTGTCACAGAATTTTGAGACCCATTAACACAAAGTTTAATGAGGAAAAAAATAATGCAAACGTTGAACTAAATATACACAAGAAATGCCGTGTTAAATTTTGGGATTTGAGAGTTGACATGTTTCTGCCCTCACTGATACAAAATGAAGTGGCGTGAAGGAGCTTGGACTTGATTTTTACAGATGGCTGGACTCATGGGGGTCTTAACTGCAAGCAACAGAAACATCTCTAGAAGATGCGATCGTCCCTTGGTGTCCATGAGGAATGGATCTGGGAACCCCCATGGGTACTAAGGTCCATAGGTGCCCACGTCCATTATGTAAAGTGGTGGAACATTTTCACAGAACCTACGCACATCTTCCTGTGGACTTGAAACCATCTCAGATTGCGTTTGGTGCCCTCCACAATGTCAATGCCATGTGAATAGTGTTATAGTGTGTTGTAGTCTCTGGAATAATTACAAGAGGAAAAAGTCCAGATGTGTTCAGTACAGGTGCATTTCTCCCCCAAGTATTTTCAGTGGGTTGCTGAATCATGAAGGCAGAAGCCACATATGGAGGGCTGATTACATCTGCAAGAAAGGAATGAACTGAAAGGGCACAGGGTAGCTCCTGAATGGCCAGCAAGACCGGGATCCGGGACTGCTCAATGGGAAGCCACAGAAGGAGAATACACAGCCAATCCCCAGATAAAAATCAACCTCACAACCAGACCGTGGAGGGGGACCCACTCTGCTGCTGATCACTGAGTGTTCGACTCGAGACAGCTGATCCTCCAGCCCTGGTCCCCTCTGTCACGTCCAGATACTGGGTGTCGGGACCGCTCATTTGGGTTTGTTTCTTTTCATCATTAACTTCAGATTCAAAGTTCGGAGAGGATCAGCTTAGCCAAACCTCAGTTACATGTCTGTTCTGATTGCCAGAAGGCCTGCGTTATGGTTATATCTAGATGTCCCCAAAGCCTCATGGCCAGGGATTTAAGGAGGTGATTGGGTCACGGGGGCTTGATACTCATCAGCGAATGAGTCCGTTGATGAAGTTACACCTGAGTGTGATGTTGGGAGGTAAAGCCCGGTGAGGAGGCGGTCACCGTGTGAGTGGCCTGGAAAGGTCGTCTCCCTTCTCCTCTCCGATCTCTCTCTGTTTCCTGTCTGCCATGCTGTGAGCAGCACCCCTCCGTGTTGCCTCTCTGCCATGCTGTGGACTGGAGCCCCTGCAAAGGAACAGAGTCCGATCTGACCTTCTTCACTTCCCGTTTACACCATCCAGGTGACAAACCACCCTAAGGTGGGTCTTCCTAAGGTGGGTCTTCCACACGAGAGTGTGGAATTAGCTGAGCCAAAGTGGTGGAGCTTCTCTTATTGAGTGGACACAATCAATCAACCAGCACCCTCTAGAAAGAATGACCATCATCAAGAAATCAACCAATGACAAATGCTGGTGAGGCGTGGGGGAGGGAGGGGCCTTCAACACTGATGGTGAGAGTGTAAACTAGTATAGCCGCCATGGAAACCGGTATGGAGATTCCTCAAAAAACTAAAACTCGAAATCCCACTTGACTCTGCTGTTTCCCTTCTATGTATTTTCCTGAAAGACTTAAAGACATCATATTGCGGGGATCCATGCACATCCATGTTTATAGCAGCACAACTGTAATAGCTAAATCATGGAAGCGGTTTATATGTCCATCAGCACATGCATGGCTGAAGAAAGTGTGGAATTTACATACAGTGAAGTACTACTCTGCCATAAAGAAGGACACGCTCAAGTCATTTGTAGAAAAACAGATGCATCTTGAGACCATAATGCTAACTGAAGTAAATCAGATACATGAGCTTAAATGCCACATGGTTTCTCTTCTGTGAGAAACTCAGTATATAAATAAACTGCAAAATTATAATCCAGCATGGACAATGTATTTATGTGTACCTTGATTTAGTACAATTGTCTTATGTGTTTTATATGGGGTTTTTTTTCTTTGCCTATTAGTCTGGGTGCTAAATATCATAATTAACTTTATAAGAATTATAAGATAAATAAATCCGATGCTGGCAAAACAAGGGGGGTGGTGGAGAAGGGGGAAATAAGAATCGAGATGCATTGTGTACATGTACCAATTTCCCGTAGCGAACGTAATCATGATGTACTGCAAGCATATACTGATAAAAATTAAAAAGGAAAAGAAAAGAGTTGGAGAGCAAAAGATTTCCAAATTAGGAAAGGGTCACCCAAATGGCACCTCCAAAAGCACAGAAATCCTAATGCATAGCAACAATGACAATGACAGCTGTTACTACCACCACTGCAGGAATTGTTGGAGGGTTTTCAGCAGGGATGCTAAGTACACTTTAGAGAGATTCTTCTGTTGGCAAGCTACATGCTGGATTGGACGCAGGGAAATAAATGAAGAGTCACTCAACTGCGCCCTGATGAGCCACACAGCTTGGTAGATATGGCAGGATCTGGCCTGGCCTGGGGCAGAATATTTCACACTTTGAGCTATGTCTGAATCAGCCCTGCATCTTGTTAAAATGCAAATTCTGATTCAGTGGGCCAGGGGAGGGCCTGTGACTTCACATTCCTAACATGTCCTGGGCCATGTGTGTGCTTAGCTCCAGAGATCAGGGGCTTGCCTGAGGTTGGTGGCCATGAAACCAGATCAGGTGAGTGTGTGTGCAGAAGTTAAGGTGCCTTCTCAGTGTCTGGTTTGGGTCAGTAGAGGCAGTGTCTGGAGGTCTTCCTTTTCTTTTCCCTGTACTGTATTTCTTGAATGAGTTTCCTTGTGTGTTAAAGAAAGGATACAAAAGAAACCAATGACACGGTCAGGCGCTCAGGTAAACAAAGGGATATTTTAAACTATGATAAACATTTTAACTGTTGATGAAAAGACATGTAAGTTTGATATAGTTTCTTGAGCATGAGCCATGCTGACTTTTGAGGAAGACTGAAATTGTCATACACTATTCATTCTGCTATTTCCCAGAAGGCCTAATCAATTGTCATTTTTTTCTTCTTGTTAACTTAACAGCCAATTGTGTTATAATGTTGACCAGGTGTGACATGCTGACTTCTCTTTAGAAATACTTTCCAGGGAGCTGATTAGAAAAACATAGGAGAATAATTTGTTTCTTTCAATACCAAACCCAATTAATGTTAGTGACTCATAAATGCTAGGGTGAAGTTAGAATATTAAACCCCCATTTGTTTAAGAATATTAAACTCCTTTTCTTTCTTTGCAACAGATTTCATATTGTTTTAGACATGAATGTCTCCCTGAAGTTGGAGAAATGGGTAAATGAAAGGTTCAACCCCCAACTTTATAGGAAAACTATTCACCTCCAGGTGTCTGGCAGGAGGTGATGATTTTAACTCATACTAATGAAGCCCTTTTTTGCACCAACATTTGAGTGAATTTCCCACAATGCTCTGAGGTAGGATCTTTTATTTCCCATCATGCAGATGGAGAAGGTAAAGCTTAGTGCATGCAGTTTAGTGACTTGCTGAGTTCTCCCCAGTGTGACAGCAGCGACAGCCCAGAACTGACGTGGCTGCTTGTAGAGCTGTGACCCTTAAAGACCCACCACTGATACCACACCATTCGGCAGGAGGCTGTCAGGTTCAATTTCTGATGCCTGCCTAGGAGGGAAACAGTTCAGATGATTCCAGGTCTTGCCCATTTCCTTGAAGCTGGCCCAAACCAACAAAGTTGGTGATGTTGATCTAACTCATACTCCATGCAGGCTACTCTTTACTGGGATCACTTTGGGGGCTTAAATATGATTTTCCCTTACTAGAAGCTCTTTAAAATTCTCCCACTACAATTTCTCCTACATAGGCCAGTCTGGTCTTCTTGCTAAGAGACAGTTGCTCTCGCATACTGTTACGGATATGTTCACCTATTCCATTCCAGGGATCAGGTTTTGCCTGGAGAGAGGAAATGAGCAGATAGGATGGGCAACAGGAAACAGAAAAAGGAAAGGGCCAAAAAATGGGGGGATGGCGGCCTGGACAACAATCATCCCTTCACCTGCTTTGCTGAAGAGCTGATGGAGATTATGGGGGCTCCTTGGGTTTGTGTGCTCATTTGCTTGAATGGAAACCAGAACTTCCGGTGTGTTAGGCAATTGCTCCACCTCTGAGATACCTCCTCAGCCTTAAGCTTTTGGAGCACAGCTACACGCAGCTTGGAAATGAGCACCTCATTCTGTGACCTCCTGCAAGGCCAACCCCCTATGCATTTGCTTTACATGGGAGTTGCTATCACACAGGGTGTGATTGGAAGGGTTGGAACTAAGCACTGCTCTGGCTGCAGATGATGTTTCTGAAATGCCCTGCATCTTGTCACAGGGAACTCTTCTGGAGCTTAATCCTGCGAACATGTTTCCTACAAGGCTGACAGTGACATCCTTCAGGTACTTCCCTACCTCCCAGTGGCTTCTCTGATCTACTCCCTCTCCTACCAGTCATCACATCCTCCCTCCCTCCCTCCCTTCCTTCCTTGTTTTGTTTTGATTTTCTGAGACAGGGTGTTGCTATGCAGTGCAGGCTGGCCTTGAACTCATTATGTAGCCCAGGCTGGCCTCAAACTCACAGAAATCCTCCTGCCTCAGCCTCCTGAGTGCCGGAATTACAGGCGTGTGATACCACATCTGGCTTTCTCCTTTCCTTAACCCTGTGAAGGTCACCGGTCCAGCAGAACCCCTTAACAATATATGAGTTTGTACCTCTTAGATTAGCCTTGACCTTTGAAGGGTTCAGGGGGTCCTTTCTTACCTCTGGAGGAAGCAGAAGGAGAAAGAAACAGCTTATGTAATAGCATGGATGCATTGATGCCTCAAGCTAATTTTTTTTTTTTCTCCATTTACCACATTTCTTGACGGCTCATTTAGAACTTGCTGCTGATCCTTTTCTTCAGCCAGAGAGCTTTCGGTGGTAGATCCAAATCTA